ATCGTCCAAGTAACTTTACTACGTTTACGTGAACCTACAACTTTAGAAACCCCCTCCCCCCCCCCCCCCAAAAAAAAAAATAGACAGAGCTTTTGCTAAGATTTGCAACAAGTCCAGATGCCTTAGAATTTTTTTGAAACTGATCAAAAAGTAATTTGACAGAAAGAACATCCCCTCTACAGAACAAGAGTAGATCATTAGCAAAACCTAGCTGGATAAGGTTCATATTAGCACACTTTGGGTGAAAATTGAAGTTTGGTTGTGTTCCTGATTGCTTGGGCATCCTACTAAGATATTCCATTACTAGAACAAACAAAAAAGGGGATATGGGATCACCTTGTCTTAATCCTTTCCTAGCCTCAAAAGGTTTTGATGATTTCCCATTAATAACAATAGAATAAGACATTGTCTGCACACAGGTCATAATCCAACCAACAAAAATAGCAAGAAAGTTCAAGCTAATCAAAACTTGTTCTAGGAATATCCACTCAACTGAGTCATAGGCTTTTTGTATATCAATTTTAAGCATTCACCTTGGAGAAATCCTTTTCCTCCCCTAACCCTTAACTAACTCATGGCTTAACAGAATGTTATCGGTTATCACCCTCCCTTGGACAAATGAGCAATCTTCTATCCACGAGACCATCCATAACCTTCAGAAGTCGCTTAGTAAGTATATTTTTATATCAATTTATAAAGCATTGTACAACAAGACCATCCATATCAATTTTAAGCATTACAAACTAAATTTAAATGTACTTTATTCAAGTTATAGACAGATGGAGATTCCAACCTCTCTTTTGTGATGTGCTTCCCAATTTGATTCTGAAAAAACAACAATCGAAATTGGAAGATAGAATTCCATCTCAACACTGTCACTAGTTTGCCGCTTTATGAGTGTTTACCTCGAAAATACGAGTAAGAATTAAATTTAATTTGTGATTTTAAAAATATGTGATTTAGTTCAATACCAACTAATAATCAAGAAGTATAAAGTATAGATGAAAGAAATGAATGAATCAAACCAGTGTTACCAAACAGTATCGGCCTCGAGCTTAGTAACCTTGAGATGAACCAAGAACATCAAAGTAAGAACAGTAAAGAGAAAAGACGAGTCTGATGAACAATGAACAAGAAAAATAAGATAGTATATTCTTTGCCAATGATTAGATCATGTTTACAAAATGATTGGGGTCCCCTTTATATAATAGGGGAACCCTAAATAAGGTAGATTTCCATTTACAATAAGGAATCTTATTGGGACAGTTGTCTAACCGCCTGATATGGAATCGTATAATTCTATTCCTGGATTTGCGCCATGATTTTGGGGACGTGGCAGGAATCTCGCTCATTCTGTTAGAGATCCATAACGACATTATTTCGAGGTCGAGCATACTCGGCTTCGGTATTCATCATATTTTGATCCCGATCGTATTTCGATCCTCGGGCATTGCATCCTATCTTTGAGCTCGAGTCTGGTCCATCGGGTCCGAAGTTCCTTTTGCTTGAACTCGATCTTAAGACGACCCCTCGAGCCTATAGATCGAAGGCATATGATTTTGATCGTATACAGATAATCCCCGCGTTTCTTAGAGTAGGTCAATAAGAAACGATTTGATCTTCGATGCTCCGACACCTTGATCCTGATGTCAATCTCGTAATGTCAGCGACTGAAGTGACTCAAAGGTCGCTTTCGTGCAGTTCTCAAAGTCATTAATTGGGGGCGGCTGATGGTCGGCTATTTGGCTTCCTTAATACGCTTAAGCGACTTCTATAAATAGGCCAACTTCACAATTTTGCGAACTTTACTTCTCAAATCGTTCTTAAAATCTCATTAGCTCCTTCAACTTCTCTGAGTTCACCCTTCTCTCAATTTGTTCTTACTTCATCATCACCATTTTCTCTTCTCTTGAATTTCCAAACCATAATGGCTAAAACATCTAAATCTGTTCCCCAAAAAGAAAAAGCCTCTTCATCATCGCGGCCGGCCAGAAGTAAAACGGTGGTGCCACCTCGTATCGAGGAGTGTATTCCCCCGCCATGTGAAACAACATCCGATTTCAAAATCGAAAAACCTGCATCGATACTAGGCCGATGTGAGCCAATGTCCCGATACATCTGTTTGATAACCGAAGATGAGCTCAAGCAGGTGAAAAAGGACTGCAACTAGGGGAACAAAGATGTAGTGATCCCTTCCCCTGAAGAGGACATCACTACTCATAAAGCAGGGTACTTAAGTGTGTATACCTACCCATTCACGTTGGGCCCTACCGATCTAGCTCTGGGTCCCATTGATCCACTTATTCTTGATTTTTGCCAACAATACCGAGTGATGCTTGGCCAGATCTCCCCTTCATTCTGGCGAATCGTCAATCTGATCAGATACTTCTCGAGCCAGATCGAGGGGATGCCTTTTACCCTCGACCATCTGATCA